TTTTGAGGATAATATATATATATATGCTTTTATTGGACTGGAAACGATTGTTATATTATCTCTATTATCATTAGATAGCTTCAGCTAACATTTAAGCACTTTAATTAGTCAGAAAGTGGTACAGACAGTAAAATGTTTTGGTTAAAAATGTAGTAAATATTGAATACAGGATAAGAATAGTAAATACAGGATAAGAAACAGGTAATAAAATGAGTTAAGTGTGGGGATGACTGTTAGGTTGGCTATAACAGAACACTCTGTAGTGTGTGGAAATTAAAACTTATTATAATCTCTTTAATGTTTATGCATTTTAATATTAATTTCAGATACAAATTGGCAAATTTCGTAACCATATCTGATTTTAAATTTCTGAATAGATAATCTTTTGAGCTGTATAGACAGACCCTGCTGTAATATAACTACAAAGTTTCACTAATTTAAAACCAATAGTTTAAGGTATTTTTATAGAGCTAACAAAACCTGATGGAAGTTTCTGATTAATCACTTCTAAGTGATTAATTTTAAAACTATTGACATAATGGTATATCTAAGTGCAAAATTTTTCAGAACAATTTTAAAAAAAGAACAACTAAAAATGGGAGGTTAATAAATACAAGATTAATACTAAAAGTTATTCCAGACATTGTTTAAAAATAAAAAAATCACATTCGTCTTGGATTCTTATAAAAAGTCCGATTTTCAGAAAATTTTACTCATGATTTTGTGAATTTAAAATTACCGTGTGAAAACAATAAACACAATAATTATATCTTTCAAAAGGTTGTAGGGTTATTTAATGGGCCAAATTTCTTCCAAAATTTACCCTGAATAGAATATATTAAATTTTAGATAACAGTAAAAAGTAGCTTATAAATATTTTATAATTTTAAGTTCATTGAAATTTTTTTAATGAAATCTGAAAAAGTTTTTGGCTATATTTTTCGATTTTAACTACTTTATGGAAATTTTTTTAAATCTTTAGTTAAGTTAGTACTATTTAATGAGCAATATTAAACTGAATTTTTATTATTGCAAATTGCAGACTTTGTTAACTTTTTAATCATTTTAATTTTGCAAATAATTCCTGTTTTTAAAATTAATTCGGGTCTTTTCTTAAGTAGACCAAGGTTGTTTTAAGCTAATGATCTCTAAATTAGTATTTTTCTCTCTAAATATAATCAAAATTAAGAAACAATTTTTTATTTATACACTGTTTATAAACAATTTATATAAAGAAAATTTTCAAATGACAGTTTTGTGTATAAAGTTGTTACATCTTATGCATTCAATCTTAAGAAAATCTAAGGCTGAACTTATATTTCTGTTTACGGGAAGCATTAAGAAGTAAATAAATACATTTAATGTAACTTTCATTCCAAAAATCTTAAACTAAAGCATAAAATGATTTTATACCTCATGTAGCACGTAGTATTTTTAATGATCTTCAATTTTATAACTCTTTGAAGTTTACTATAAAGGCAGAAGTTTTGCATTTCGCACGCAAATAGCTCATTTCATGTTTTCCATTTCATCAGTTTATTCTATATAGAGGTTTTAAGCTTCATGATATCTTAGTTTCTGTAGAAGATTTTTACCAAAGTACTGTTTATTTCTGAAAAATTATAGACATATTTACTCTACATTAAAGCTATATCTTAAACTCAGTTTTTTATTCCGAAGAAATACTATTTTTATAATGGAATTATATCACACTAAGCCATTTATCACACTTTCTAATTTACCATTTATGGAATGTGCTTTTTAACAACAAAACATAAACTCTGAAATGGAACTATTTTTTATAATTTAAAATCAATTTATGAAATCAGAAGAATACCATTTTGAAAAATAGAATGATATCTAAGCCATTTATCAAACTTTCTTATTTCTCATTCATGGAAAGTGCTTCTTAACAAAAGAATTAATTCTGAAATTGAAATATTTTTATAGTTTTAAACAAGTTTCGAAATCAGTGGAAATATCATTTTGAAAGGGAATCATATCACATGTATAAATATATTCTATGCCATTTATTAAACTTTCTTATTTATTTTTCGCAAAATGTACTTCTAAACAAAAACTTAACTCCGAAATGGAATCTATTTTCATGGTTAAAAATTAGTTTCGGAATCAGAAAAAATTCCATTTTCAAAATTGAATCATAGAGCGTGTGTCATCTAACGTAATCATATAACGTGTATCATATAATGGAATCATACAACGATAATATCATCTATATCTTGAAATGTTTATCTGATGTACATATTTATTTTATTTTTATGCTGTTTAACATTTGTATTTTTTCATTCAAATTTTTCATTTCAAATATTTCAAATGAAATATTTAAATGTTTAAAGAAGGCATTTAGAAGTATAGAAATGTACATTTATTTGCTAGAAAATGTCAATAATAAATATTCAGAATAGGCATTATGTTTAAATAATTATGATGCATAAATAATATATCTTAGAAGAAAAAAAAGCTCTTTTTTTAGCTTATATCATTTACTTATTTCAAAATAATACATATACTCTGAATAATAACTAGAGCATTCCCGATTGGCTACAGACTTTACAGAATCAGTAAATATATTCCAATTATATCATTAGTTATTCAATTATATTAAATTTATCAAAATTGTATTATCTAATTTAAAATAATATTCATTCCCTGGATAATGACAAAAAATTCCCAATTTGTTGCAGAATTCACAAAATTAGGGATTTATGTTTTCCTTATGCAATAAAAAATAAAAATAACTTTATCCATTGTGCTGACAACATCAGATACAGGTGCTCCTTATCAATTTGATATGAGAAAGAATTTGATCGAAACCATATTTATTCAAGCAGAATTAAACTTTTAAAAAAATAAGTAAATTAAATTTGGGATTATATCAAATATTCTTTTTTGGTACAATTTATTTGATACTTACGTTTATTTTTTGAGGATAAACAAATAAAAATTCAACTTTATATCTTATATATTATTTTAAATAGAAAGTCTAAAATATGCTTTCTAAATTAAGTTTTTTTATCCTTATATATGAAATTTGTGTATTTGCAAGCAAAAATTGTTTAATTTAGAATAAATAAATTTAAAGTTTTCTCTTTTATACTACACGTGTCGGCTCTTTTACATGCATAATTTTAACGTGAAGGTTTCATTTTTATCCCCATGTGTTGTTCTTATCCCCATGTTCATGTTTTGTTTTTATAGTTTTTATGTGTTTCTTAAGAAATTTTAATTTAACTTTGTAATTATCCCTGTGTATTTGTTTGTCTTTTTCAGCTGTTTAAACTATCTTGCTTGTTACGACCATAAATTTAGTTTTAGTCTATACTAATTTTCACTGCATTAATTTTTTTTATACTGTTATGTATGTTTCACCTATTCATTTAGAGTTTCAATAGCTTTTTTCTAAGATTTTGGGTCTGTCTTTACTTTTTTTCCATGTGCTGTTCTTTCTTCAAAGATTCTTGTTTGATATTTTTAATGTTAAATACGGTCATTTGAACATTTAATTGGAAATGAAAAAAGGGTTTTTCAGATTTTTTATAAAGCAAAATATTCAAAAAATTTTTACTATAATTCTGTAGCGTTCTTACTTTTAAATAATTCAAAACACTCTTCATTGCATTCATAACAGTAATTGACTTACAATTTTTGGTATAGATTTTATATTTATTGTTACTTTTGGAAAAAACTGTGCAGCCTTTCCAAGCAACAGCTTTATTTTTTTCTTTCTACTTTATTGAGCCCATGATTAATGTTTTTATGTGTCTCCCATTTTTATTATTGTTTTTCTTAGTTTAGTATATTAAATATCTTTCTCGGGCAGAGTTTTTAAATATAATTTTATTTATATTTTTAAAAAAAATAATTGAAGTGTATATAAACACTTTAAAGATTAATTTTATTCTTCTCAATAAAAGAAAACTTTCCATACAAATTCGACAAGTTTAAGATTTTAACTTTCAAAGCATTTTAAAGGAGGTAAATGAAGTGTATGTACTTTAATCTCTTTTTATTCCAGACAAAGAATACTTTAATCGTCTGGTTGGTGATGCTATCGATCATTCTTCTTTTAAAGTATGACATTAATTAAAAGCATCTCAATTGCTTAAAAACTTGCTCTTGAGATGGTTTCCTCAAACTGAAGAGCAAATACTCGAGATTTTCAGAAATCTTAGAGTATTAGATACGATAATTAAACATTTAATTGGAAATAAAAAATACTTCTCAGGATTTTAAGTCAGCAAAATAAGAAAATATTTTATGAAGTTCGAAAGGCTTCTTACGAGACTTTAAATGAAGTGTAAAATATGAGAATAAAACAATGATGATTAAGTTTCCATGAAAAGTGCAGTCATATGCAGAGAAATGGCTTTAGTCAAAACATAAAGTAATCACTAATTCAGGGCTTGCAGAATTTTTTTTTAATATGCAGTCAGATACAAAGAAACGGCTTTGTTCAAAATGTAAAGTAATCCCTAATTGAGGGTTGGCAGAGTATATTTTATAATCTTTGTACATACAGTACAGTAGTGCATGTACGTAGTATGTATGCATGATGTATTCTTGTTTGTAGTATGTATGAATCTATCCCAAGAGCATTGTAAGGTTGATTTTAAAGTAGCAGCAATCTTTATCACAAAACTCTAATAAGGTTTACAAATGCTTAGAAAATGGAAGCTTGAAAAAAATCTTATATTTAACTATACTAATTTACGCATAATGAGGTTCGCATTAATCTTGGATAAAGACCATTTTATATCAAGATTGAATCAAAAGCCGACCGGCCTGTGTAGGGGGGCAGGGAACTGTCCTTGCATCAGAAAGGTCCTGGGTTTGAATCGCGGGCAAGGCATGGACGTTTCTTTCTCGGTGTGTTCTATGTTCTTTCTCCTTTGTGTGTGAATGTGTGTGAATGTGATCCGCCCTGTAAACGGGTTGTGGTAGTGCGAATGGAGTGACAGAAGTCGAATTCCTGGCCATAGATGGCGCCACTGAAAAACAGAAACAATCGCACCCCCACTGCCTAAACAGGCATACGAAAAAAAAATTTGAATCAAAAACCGCGACCTATCATCATTTAAAAAAAATGTTGCGTATGAGAAATATTCAATATTTAATGAAATTCTGGAAGACATTTAAAAAATAAATATAATAAATAAATACCTATATTACCACTAAATATTTTTGACACCTCTGGGAGACGGAAGTACAGCAATATATTAGTAATCAACCATACGGTTTACAACAATATATTTAGTAATCTCTCTCTCTTTCTGCTATTTATTATTTCATTTCAATCTTTATTAGTTTAATATATATTTTATACCTTGTTTCAAGTGTAGTCAGTTAAATAAAGGTGATAAGTACTAATGCTTTTGAAGAAAAAACAGGTTATGGGCCATTTCTTAATTAGTTAAGGACCAAAAACAAAGATTAAGTTAGAAATAATTATGAAAGTTGTGGCTTTAGTGATTTTGGCTTAATATAGTTATCAAAAGTTTGTTTCCTTCTTTGAAGTAAATTTTATTAAAAACGGGTCTCAAAAGGAGTGGAAGCATAAACATTCTAAACCAGATGAGAATGCAATTTTTTGTAGGCATTTTTTTAAAAATTTTAATCGAATGAGATCATATTCAATTATATATTAGACCATATATATGAGACCATATTCCAATAGTTTCGAATTTTTGAGAGTGTTGTTCATAAATATGTTAATTCATGCATTTTTATGCATAAATATACATAACATCCTAAATATATAAAATATATAAAAGAATACAAAAGAAATCCCAAATATATAAACGAATACAAATGAATTTTTTATACTTAAAACCATTTTAACTAATTAACTTGATCTAATATCATTTGATTTAGCATAAAAAATATTTATGGACCTATACCGAGCATGTCTATACAGTAAAATTTCAACTATTTTTAATCATCAATTCATCGCTTGTGTTTGGTCTCTAGAATAACATTTAAAGTGAAAAAAATTGTTTTGTTTTGAAATTTTCTATATAATATTTTGTTTTTCTTTGCATAATTGTTTATTAAAAAGAATTTATTTATTTTCAGGTGACTAATTTTGATGTCGACTTATGAACTGCTTATTCCACAAAAGAAGCTTCAATTTAATTTAATTATAGAAAAAAAAATTGTAAGAAATTTGCATGTCATAGAAATAACATGAAAAATAACCGGCATTAGAATTTCCCAAGGCTGGTGAAAGACCATTAGAAATTTTTATGTTAAAAGAAATCACAGTATTGTTTATTTGCTTTTAAAGATAAAAAATGATTTATCACATTCTATTTTCCCTTCATACATATTGATTTTACTAGCCATGAATCTAAAGAGAATATATTTCGATTTAATCACTTAATGTTCGTCTTTCATTAAGCATCAAAAATGGAAAACATCAAATTGATTTATGTTTTTGTGAGTGGCATTTAAACAATTCGAGATGCTAAACGTGTCTGATCAAGAAACAAACTGTAGGTTCCTCGAGAACCTCAACTGCAGTGGGAAAAACTGCTCTTTTTCCGTTGTAAGTTGCAACGATACAAATTGGACCATGATCGAGCCAAATATTAACGATATGGAACCAGACCCCGAATATGAAGCGTTTCAGTTAAACAGTCGCTTCTGGATTCAGAGAGTTTTCGTACCCATTATCATGACTATCGGAGTGATTGGTAACACTGTGACTGTGTTCATAATGACACAAAGGCGCATGCGCAGCTCTACGAACTGGTATTTAGCGGCCCTAGCCATATTCGACGTAACGTACTTAGTGTTCTCATTCGCATTATCATTGCAGCACTATCCGCATATTCATGAACAAGAATACAATTTTTATTGGATATTGTGGCCTTACATGCTTACAATAACTGATGTATCGAGTAACTCTTCTGTGTGGATAACCGTCACATTCACTATAGAGCGTTATATCGCTGTATGTCATCCCATGAAAGGCAAAGTGATATGCACAGAATCTAGAGCTAAGAAAATGATAATGATAGTTTTCATCTTTTGTTTTTGTGTAACGTTGCCAACTGGATTTGAATGGAACACAATTGAAGTTATTGATACAATAACAAACACCACAAAAATTCAAGTGGTGTATTCAGACTTGGGAAACAATCCCGTTTATGTTCAGATTTATTATTGGGTGATCTCCGTTCTCTTCGTTTTTATTCCCTTGTTCTTATTGGCTGTTTTTAACGCATTTCTAATCAAATCAGTTCATTCTTCGAAAACGAGAAGGAAAACAATGACCAGAAAGCGAGAAGGAGAAAGCCAAGCGAGACAAGAAAGCAAAATAACTGTGATGCTCATTGCTGTAGTTATTTTATTTCTTGTGTGCCAGCTTCCGACAGCAATCACCCTTCTTTATAAAGCATTCCATCATATCAAAGACAGAAGCAATGAAGATCTTCTGTTGCGTGGTTTGGGCAATATATTCAACTTTCTGGTAGCAGTCAATGCCGCCGGAAACTTTGTTCTCTACTGTCTTTTGAGTCAAAAATACCGAAGGACATTCATCCTGATATTTTGTCCTTGCTTGAAAAGTAGGTTGACAAGACTCCACTCTGTGTGTCAGAACACAGGATACACAACCGTGGATGGTGAAAGTCCAGCAGCTTCAAGAAAATACAGTGTTCGTACCCCAGCATTATCAAAAACATGGGATGGAAACTCTACAGATTTGTCACAACAGAATATGGGAAACAAGCAGTACCGCAGGCAGCAGTCAGCGCCAGCAACTTCTATTCCCCGTCAACAGCAGTTAAGCTTTTCTAAAAATGTTGCTGTCTTTTCTGCAGATGACTCATTTCGATGTCATGAAGATACCAACGATAATAGATTGTTGCGAGGGTTCCGCTATCCTTGGACAAGAACCAAAGTGGCATCCGGTGTTAATGAAGAAGATAGAACTGGCCAGTTTATCCCCCTCAAATCTCCAACCAAAGATGTTGATTAAACTTTATATCTGTCAGGGTAAGTCTGAAATTATCTGCATATTTCCTAGAAAACGAGTTCGGCTTAAGTAGTGACTGACTACTGGGAGAGCAGACTTGGGTAAGGGCATATCGGAAGATCCCTGGAAAGTGTTTTATTCCTCCAATATGATTTTGAATGAAGTAGCTATATTATTAAAATGCGATAATAGTAAATATATTCTGGCAAATGTTGGAAAAGTTTTAGAAACATTGAATTAATGTTTGAAGTTTTGCCAATATTTAAGAGAGTTAAATATTGATGCTAATCTCCTTCAATGTGTCTCGCCTCTTGATTTTGTGCCATAACTGTACACAAAGACAACAAATGATAATCAAATGTATATATTAAGAAAGCCTACATCCAAACTAGGGGGAATCAGTTCCGTCACTGCTAGGCCGGAAGTGATTACAGCCTAGGTGAAGTCCAGTCCAGGAGGAGTAGGAAGTAAGTTATTCCTAGTAAATATCTGTCTAATGGTAGACTATCTTAATATATATGTTAAGTTTTCATCGATTTTCTTTACATAAAGCACTGGCACGAAATCAAGATGGCTTTATTTAAGTTGGGTACACTGTTGTGGAGAAGTTCTGACTAAAATTGGAAGCGTTTCAATAAATATTGAAAAGGTTAATATTGAAAGAGTTGCAATAAACCTTGAGGAAGTTCAAAGAGATATTATATGAGTTTAAATGAATATTGGAAGAGATTGAATATAAAATGAAAACTATCAATTAATGGGAAGAGGATTCCCGTAAATAACGACAGACGGTAATAGACGAAGGTAACGATAAAAAAACTGCTTTACGTGACTGAAAATAATCACGATAGCATTAGTATCTTTGTTCTGCTAAGGTACATATCGATTGGTGAGGTAACACTACAATGGTTCAGAGTGTTTTGTGGAATCTTTCAAATATTCCAGCCTTAATAATGCTCTCCAACTGACTGCAAAGCATTACTGACGCTATTTAACTCCTGAATAAGACGAGCGAAAATAATGAGGCTCCATTGTTTAAGCAAAGTTAACGTATTGTTGATATGAACAAGACGACCAATGTATGCAGATAATTTTCTACTTGCCCACTAATTGAATTGTAATTGTATTGCACATATGTATATGAATACTGTCAAGCACAATTTTTAAAGCCTATGCTGTTAAGCATTAAGGCTTATACACACTTGGTGCCAAAATACGTTTTTGGAAATAAGTTAAATTTCCGAGCTCTATTATAAATTTATTTTTCTCATACTGCCAACTGACTATTTTAGTTTTGGTCATTTTTTTATATAAATATTTGGAGTTTAAATTATCTGAAATTGGTTTCAATACTCAGATAGAACTAAAAATAATACCTGAATGAAGCTTCTAATGTACAGTGTGCAAGAATATAAACGGAATATCCTTCATAACTTTTGTCATATCCTTCATAACTAATGATCGGATCTTCACTTTCTAGGACTCAATCTTAATTATTTGAGGAGGTGACCTCAAATGTGCTATTCAATAAGCGCAGGCGATAATTTAAGTTAGGAAATTAGAGAAGAAAATGTACTTTCTCTGGATAAATATATCTTTTTCTTTCGATGGATTTGGATTTCAGACACCAAAAATATAGGGGTTACAACAATCTGAAAAATATGATCTCAATAGTTTAGTCAGGAGAGCTGTCTAAAGTTTGAACCCCTTTATTTTAATTAAATTTTTTGAAGTATTTCATTAAAATTTTTGAGCGAATTTAAATTTTTTTGCATACAATTTAAAAATTCGTTTGTCCAAAGATAATTCTATGCAAAAACAAAATTTTAGTAAATATTTATTATTTGTTAGTATTTTATTTAGTAATAATCGAAAAAAAAAATTTAAATTATAATGTATTAAATTTATTTGCATCATTTTAAGTGGCAAAATACGAAATTTGAGCAAAATCGATCGAATAGTTCCAGATTTTAAGCATCTGACTTTTTTGAAAATCAGTTTCTCAGGAACTATTCAGCCAATTTCGCTCAAATTTCGAATTTTGCCATTTGAAATTACATTCTTTCAAATGATTCAAAAATAGTATGCCTTACAGTTCAATTTTTTTCGACCATTATTAAATAAAATATTAAAAAATAATGGATATTTACTAAAAGTTATTTTTTGCATTAAATGTCTTCGGATAAACAAATTTTATAATTGAGCACAAAATTTTTTCAATTTTCTTAAAAGATTCTCTAGATATAGCGAACTACGCAAAAAATCAAATTTACATTACAGGACCCAGACTTTTGACTTCTCTTCTGACGAAACTATTGGGACCACATTTCCCAGATTGTGGCTGCCCTCAATCTGTATTTTGGGGGTCAGAAATCCAAATCCGTTGAAAAAAAGGTATGTTTATTCCGAGTAAGTCTGATCTTGAAATTTAAAATATCGACTGTACTATTTAAGCAGCATATTTGAGGTCACCTCCTCGTACCATTATAATTGAGTCATAGAACGTGAAGATCTGATCATTAGATCAAACGTTATTCAGGGTAGTCCTTTTTTTTGTGCACTGTACTTTAAATTTTTCTAAAAAACTAAAATTCTAATAAAAGCACATACATATAGTATATATTTTTATTAAACATCAATACTTATTTTCTGGCTTTCAACAATTTTTTATTTCTAATAAATAAACATAATGACTGAAAATGTAATGATTTTTTATTTAAAGTCAATAATTACTGTTATTGAATGATTAGTATATTTTAAAATTTAACTATTTTCCAAATATAAGATGAAATTACATTATTTCGTGATAAATTATAGAAATTTCTGACTTTAAAAGTTATCTAATATTAAATAGTTTTTAACACAAACCCTAATTTTCAGTATGCTAATTGTTATTTAATAGAAAGCTTTTCTTTCCTTTTTTAATTACAGGCTTTTATGTCTATAATTTCTATGTATACCCCAGATTTTTCCTGCAGTTTTTAAGGCAAATTAATTCATTATTGTAACGTTAACTGCTTTTTTCTTCTACATAAATTATACTGTTACATTCTCATGGTTTGCAATTCATATAAGGAATAAGTAGTATTTTTAAAAAAAATTATATTTTATTTTCTTATGATTTAATCTTCAATGTTAAGTAATATTGTTACGAATTTAAAAAATGAGCAAACAATATTTCCTTGCAGTAGGTGTTACCTGGTAATTGTATAAGTATGTTTCCAAGATGTTCTTGATGTTGAAAACAAACCTGTATAAACCTCTGTGGTTTTGTATCGTTTTAATGAATGTTCTAAAATTTATAAACATTTGCATTTTCTTAAAAATAAATAAAAATATCAGGTGAAGCAAAACCTCATGCTCGATAAAAAATTGCCTAAAATATTTTTTTGTTATTATACAATAATGTAACTAAAGGATAATTGAATGCCTGTAAATGACGTCATTGACGCATTTGTCGGTTCATCATGGCATTTGTCGAGTCAAAAACCAATCAAGTTCGACACACGTGCTTGACACGGGTACCCAATTAAATCTGATTTGAATCACGTGGTTAGGCATAATTACATCACATCTTCTCGAGTTGCAAGTACCCAAGAAAAGTACCTGGACCAATTAACTTAATTTAATGTCGAAATCAAAACCAAAAGAAGAAGAAACTGAAATATTTTTCTCAACTTATCATTTAACAGGTACTACAGAGAGTAAGACACTAGAATAAGCATCTGCAGTCACCTAATCAATTTAAGTAAAACACTTTGAACGACAGAAATATATTCTGACGAAAAAGTCAACAAAGTCAATAAAATATTTTCAAAAGAAATTCACAATTATAATAAGCGAATAAGGTATTAATATGAAGCAATATACAAATAAGAAATTAAATGTGTACGAAATGTCGGGAAACAGGGAAAGGGAATGAAGGATAATTCTTTATAATGAAGAAATAGTAATATTTATGTAACAGTGTTTTATTTTATTTGGTTTGATATCGAGTTTCGCCAATCACCTGATATTAATTTAATGTGGTGTGTGCAATGATGGTTTTAAAATAAATCGTCATAGCGAGTGTAATTAATTTTTAAAAAAATCAATTTTTCACGATAACAATTTATTTTGCCACCAATGCATGGAATCGGGCTAGACAATGCCTCTTTACCAGTAAAGTAGGAAATAATTAACATTTCGCTGATTGCCCAGTTATTTTATAGAATGACAAAAGATAAATGTATGAAACATTTAATATTTCAGACATTGCTAGGTGTTTTATAGAACTATTCCTGACAAGCCCACAGGAATTCTATACAATAACTAGGAAAAGTATAAGAAGATTTAAATATTTCATATTTCGTATAAAGTCCATTTGTCATTTTATACAAGGTATAGGCAATTTATTCAACAACTAGGCCATTTATGAAACCATTTTCTTTTTTTATAATTTACCAGGCATTCTATAAAATGAACAGGTTCTATAGATTACCGGCATTTCATGCATCAGCGGTAACTTAACGCTGAAACGGTTGAGGCTTATTTTGAATATCACAAAATATATTCACAACAGTGTCACATAACTTATTCATGTTTTAATGAAAAGAAAAGGATAACTAAAGAAAAAATTTAATGTTTTGTTTATTAAGTATTTAAAATTAGCTGACTGTTCCTTTCTACAAATTATATTTTAAAACTAAACTAAACTAAACTCAGTGGCGTGACAGCCCATAGAGGGCCAAGGCCTACTGTGCCCATCTCAGTTTTCTTGACCCTGGGCTCTGGGGTGCAGGAGCAGATGTTCCGGATAGGTGGTCAGCCGAACGCGGAACCCCCAGTGTTTATGCTTGGTACTCATTTATCGACCCACTGAAGGAATGAAAGGCTGAGTCAACCTTGCCCGGCCCGAGGATCGAACCAAGGACCTGTGGCACGACAGCGCAAAGCGCTACCGCTCAGTCACCGGGTGTTTAAATTATATTTTAACAAATGTTATATTTAAGCATTCTTTCATGAAAACAAAAGCTACGACAAGTATTTTGATCTGAATCCCTGTACATCCCAGAATTCCTGTACTTTATATTAATTTTCGGTTCATATAAAATCTACATTTCAAAATGTACATGAATGTAATTGCAGAATATAGTTGTTAACTGCAAAAGTTCTTTAATTTATATTTTTATTAGAATAAATAATATGCGTAAGGAAACTAATCGTCACCTTACACATATAATTTATTTTAAAACATTTTTACAAAGACCAGTATTTCTACATATGCATTTTATTATTATAATTACTTTTTTTTGTGATATCCAATCCATTAACGCAGAGTGGCACATAACAGTGTCACACTCTTTAAAAAAATAATGTTATTATTAAGTCTAAGGATTAGTGTTTTAAATTACACTCTTTGATTCTTTTTCTGCGACATAAAATGCCAATGTATATTAAAGGAATTATCTACGTATATTGAAACAAAAAGCCACTGTGAAAATCCAATTAACATATCAAATGGTCCTTAGGATGTTATGTTTTGTTTTTATTTATCTATGTTTATTTATTTTACTTACTATACAAAATCACTATGGTTACTGATTAATCAAGGATTGCTTGATAAAACAGCTGTTGAGTTTTGCTTACTATTACTAGTGACACAACGTAATAGTTCCCGAACAGATATGAAAAAAAAAATGATTTATCTTCTTTTTAAGAGATAAATAAACTGTTATTAAATTTTTCTGTTCCATTTACTGCATGTACTCGATGTTTTGGTATTTAAATATGATAGATGTTCTAGTTGTTTTCTAAACTTATATGGTTGCATTATTTTGACAAATTCTTTCATGAAGTCTGTGTTACATGTTATGTATCGGTGTTCATTAGTAATGGATATATAATACTTCGTTTCAATAGTAGTTATAACTAAAACCGAAGAATATGAAAAAATAAAATATTTATTCAAACGAAATTTTTTTTAAAGATTATAAAGTGTGCGTGAAATAAAGAA